GAGGATTTGAATTTGAATATATCACTCAACAATTGCATGTTGTGTTTAAGGCTACCACTATCTGAGGGACATGTGTGCTCCTGAAATAGCTAAAGTACCCTGGGATGTATTTTTTGCTGCTTTCTTTCACAGGCTTTGTTGTTTTCCCTGTAGATGTGGGCTTTCCAGAGGAGATTCTGGGGAAAGTGGTAACACGTGTTCCGGAACTGCGAGCAGGAGATGTTCTGAAGCACAGACACAGTGGCATGGATACTGTGCAAGAAATGTTCTTTTTTTCTTGGTTTCTGTCTAAAAATAGGCTTTCCTTCTGGAGCCTTCTCATCTGTAAATATTTCCATTAAAACTGGAGACAAAGCTCTTTTGGTTCTGTGTGCTGGTAGGGATACAGTACTGGCTGCTTTTTGTACAAATAACCTGTGATTTGCTCATATATCTGATGCGGATCTTCTATAGTCTTCTTCTGTGTCATCTGTTTGGAGTGCTGTGTTTTGCTCATCTCCTTTGATTTTCTGCGCTATATTTTCCTTTGACATATTTAGAAAATGAGTCTTACTAAAGATTAGAACTCTCTACAAAGTTGTGTTTGTCTTAAGGGGGTATGGCCCAAGAAATGCTGTGCCGTCCTGTTAAAAAATGAATTATTATGAAATAAATTGCTACAGAACTTTGAAAATGGCTATGTGACAGTTGTCACTTCTTGCCATGGAATGCTCATCTTTTCCTTTTTTTCCCCTTTTCTTTTATGTAGCGTTCTCTAACTTCAGCTTTTTAAAATCATTTACTGAATAGAAACGTTAAATTTTTATTCCAAAATCTTATCTCAAAAACTTTAGCATTTTGCTCTCTTACTGTATTTTGTAGTGGGAAATATAAAGCAGTTTCTTTTTCTAGCACTCTATCCTGAGATCGGACACACAAAGCAAAGCACACACATCTGTAATGAGCACCGAGCTCCTTCCAGCACCTGAACTCACTTAACCCATGTTAATTCCATGCAACGCTGTAATGTGCAGGTAAACAAACCCGTAAGTGATGGGCCAAAGGGAAAATGAATGATTGAAGGTCATATGCTAAGTTAAAAATGAGCGTGCTCTTTCACGTTTGACATTTTGAAAGTTTCTGCTAAGTTTACTGCTGTTCAGTAGAGTCCAGGGACATCCAATGAATTAATTTTATCTCTTCTGTATCAACGTGTCCTCTCCATTTGTTAACTACTTGAGTATTGCTGTTAAGTTTATTGCAGTTGTAGTGTTCTGTCTTTTCTTAAGAACAACTGGTGGTTTGGAAAACAGAATCGTAGTTCCTTGCATATTTCCATTCCAGGAAATCAATTATATGAAACATATTGTTCTTCCCATCTGTTTTTTCAACTATTTTGTGTAAAATGACATACAGAGAACAAGACCTGCTTCCTTTTTCACTTCTGCAAGAAGGAAGGCAGGTGAAGTTTAGAAGTGCCTGTGAGACTGAAGAGAAGTCTGAAGACGGTCTTCTTTCTAGAGGCTCTGTTGGATTAAAAAGGTCCACTACGTTTGATTTGCTCCACAGTTTATATGTGGAGTCAACTCCATAATGGGGGATATTTCAGTCACAAAAACTCTCGTAGTTCTTCGTAGAGATTTTTTTCGAGGCATAAAGGAGAATTAAAGAACCTGCCTCCTCTGCCTGTAGGAGAGCTGGAATCACAGCCTCCTTTTTATAAAATCCTGTTGCTGGCAGTAAGTTACTTTAGAAAATGGCTTCCACTACAACTAGCAAGCCCATAACAGTGTCTGGGCTTACCTGTGCCCATGTTCCACAGGTCCCTGAGGCTCCTCACCGTTATTTAGGTGGCCTCGTCTCCTTTGAAATGCAGTCTTTTCAGTGCTTCCTTTTCCCAGACCTTCTTTGGAGCAGTGAGACAGTGTTAGTTTTAGTTAGCTGGAGCATTTAGGTGCCTGTTTCCTTCTGGGTTTATTAGGTACCTTAATACCTATCAGAGATCTAGGATTCACTTAGTGTAAGTGAATTTGTATAGAGCTATTAGAAATCTATGAGACTTCCTATGCTTATGCAGTGCAATGAATAAATCTATCGAGGATGTCTAAATCAGAACAAGAGGACCTCATGATTAGGAGGTGCTTCAGTATGTTTTAATGAAGATACTCCAGCCTCCTGACTTTCACTGATATAAGGATGTTTGATTTGTTTGTTAGTTTGTTTGCAAACTAGCAGCCTAACTTCTGTCGTTTTTTTTTTTCCCCTAATTTTTGATTGTCACAATACCCCCTGGATCTAGGTGTAACGAGAAGGAGGAGGCGTTGCTTTGTATCACTGAGCACTCTTTGGTAGCTTTCAGGCCAAGCAAGTTGCATGCTGCAGAATTACTCTTTGAACCAATGTGAACTGAGATGGGATTGCATCCCTCATACAGCGCTCTGCTGGTGCTTATAGAAGTGAACTGCTTGGTCTGGAGGTCAGCACTTTTGGATTCACTGTGCACTTAGTTAGATCAAGGTCTGATCTGAGGTTAAAATCAATATCACAAATTGCAGATAAAATGACAAAGAATATGTTTCCATCTGTGTTATATTTTAGGTACAGTGGTCTTAATGTATAAGTAGGTCAATTTCATTAAGGTGTAATTTCATTAAGGGACCATAACTGTAACTGGAGTTTGGCCACTAAATGATTTTTTTTCTGTCCACAGTGAGTGTAGAGACATGCATCGCTCCTGGATGCTGCTCACTTTGGTCATTTTATTTGAGAGCAGTGAAACCAGTAAGCATAAAGTGTACTCTGAGAGTCTGAAGGAAATAAGTAAAAAGCTGCAAACTGCAAATAGATTCTTTATTTGAAGTGTCATGAGAATATCCATCAAAATCGTATACTAAAACATTCATGCACTTAAAAATAAATAAGTAAATAATAATAATAATAGAGTTGTTAGAAACAGAACTTTAATGCACCTGTACAGGTACACATGCAGCCGAGTTTTCAGCAGTAGAGCCTTCAGGCTTGCACTTCTAATATAGAAGGGCCATGAGGCAAAGCATCTGACTTGAGGAAGTTTCACTTCAGTTTGTGTAATGTGGCAAATCTGATCACATAGTTAACTAGAAATGCCATTACAGTCACAGCACACAGAGATGAAGATGCTCTGTTTGTGTGTTTGTGCTGGCTAAGGTAGAAGGTCTGTCCCCATACAGGACACGAGAAGGGTGGCACGTGGGGAGGAAGGGGGAAGTAGTCTGCAAATCCTGCACAGTGAGGAGGGCGGTGAGATGACTCTGAGAAGTGTAATTCCGCGTGCCCGAAGCTGATGCTGAGCTCTATGGTTGGATCCTGGGGAGGAGGGAGGGAGAGGGGGATGAACATTGAGCTCCCAGAACCTGCACATATTTTGCACGAACCAAAAAGCTTATTTGGGGTGCCCAACCCCTAGGGGCACCACCCAGCATCACCCAGCAGATGCAGGCACAGTATGGTTTTTTTCCAATTGTGGTGCAGAGTGGAGGGGAAACACAGCCAAAGCTGTTGCCAAGCAAAGAGCTGTGACTCATTCTGCTGTGGGGGCCCTAAGGAGCCCCAGCCTGTGCCCTCGGATCTGGTGGCACGTGGAAGAAGGCTGATGAGAGAGAAGATCATAACTGGGCAACAGCTGCTCTGTGTGACTTGCTTCCCTGGTAACCTGGCAGCGCTCCAAGCAGAAATCTGAATAGGAGTTAAAGTGCTTGAGGCGTTCATTCCCTTGGTGTCTCCAGCCTTCCTTCTCCTCCCAGCTCCTGCTGGATCTCTGCTCAGCAGCGATGGAGGCATCTTAAGGCCGTGCAAGTTCGGCAGAGTTCCTGTTGGCAGTGGAGGGGCAGATGTGGCTGCGACTTGGCTCAGTGCCTGCTTGCAAGGCACAGGAGAGCCAGGCTGTGGGCAAGTGGCTCTGCCGTCACCAGAGAGAGCCTGATCTTAGGGGGATGGAAAGCTGCGTGGGAAAACCTCTGTGATTGTATCGGTATTTGGTGATTCCTGTTTACATGCACTGCCTTTCCGTGAATTTTCAGTCACATGGGAGGTTTGTGGGATTGTTTGCTCCTGCCTCTGGTTTACTTGGACATCCTCCCCCAGCCCCCCAGGTATTCTCTCTCAGCAGCGATTTCTTGGCGGCTTTTCAGGACTCTCCAAGTTGTTACTGGCTCCTCTTGAAATTCAGAATGCTGCTCTGTAGCTATGGCTGATGCAGAAATGCAGTTTTACGTCCCTTGGATATTTATAGAAGCAATGTTTTAAATGCGCAGTTTTAATCTTTTTATGCATTTCATAAATTGCTTTGTTGTTTTTGTTTTATTTGGGTTTATTTTGAAGTCCAGTTTCCTTCCTGCTGCCTTTTTGTAGCAGTTTTGCCTTGAGTTTTCAATTACTACGAAACATTAGTGAGTCATGTATTCCAGAGTATTGCAAAAAGCAAAAAATAAATTCTCTACCAGTTGTGAACAGATGCAACTTAAGCCAGATGCCAGTTGCTCCCTGTTGAAGAAATGCTGATCTTTATTATGTCAAGATAGATAATAGAAACAGTATAAAACAAAACAAGAGGAATGCAAACAGCTACTTTGTGCTTACCAGTAAGTTTTCTCTCTATGGAGGCAGTAACGACAGCAGCCCAGACAGTTTCTTAAGGCTTTTCCTGCTCTTCTGTGCCCTCTATTTGATCATCTGCCAAGGCCTATGAATAGTGCCAAATCAAACAGCACAGCATCTCTATAAGTCTGCTCTTGGAAGCTAAGGAATTCAGCAGTTGGAGTGCAATGCCAGATATAAAAGAAGCAATTATAGTGGACTGCCAGGAGTTTAGGTTGAATAACTTCAATATTTGTATAACAGATAATTTGAGGCTGCTTTTACTAACTGAACTTTTGCTTTCTGTATGCTTTTTTTCACCAGAATCTTAATTGATGCAAATATAACCTTACCCAGATGCAAGAGAAAAATGTGTTTTCTTCTCTCTCTTTTTTTTTTTTTTTTAGGTTCTGAAGTTCTGTAAAAACTTTGAAGCCTGTTTCTACTAGCACTGGCAACTGAAGTTCATCTGTGAAACAGAACCATTGCAGAGAAGGAACTGCTGCAATTTTGGAATACAGAAGACCACCTTCATCTTTGCAGGTATCTCCATTTTTTCATGCCTTTACACGATCCTTCCCTTGACTTTTGTCCTTCCTGATTAGTAACAGTGAAGAAGTTTTTAATGTGATATTTCAAGAAAAGAAAAAATTATACAGTGAAATGAAAAGATTTACACAATGACAAGAGTTAGTGGAATAGTTATATTGTTTAGGGTGAAAAAGAACTTGGATTCCTTATACTGACTGCACTGTGGACACATGCCAGTTCTGACTGAAGTAAAATTCATCTTACTGTGATTGACCATCCAAAATCTGTTAACCATTTTTAATCTTCAGGAGCATGAAAAGGAGCTTTGCTTAAAACCAAACTGTTGTTATATACACTAGTTAATAGTCATCCTACTCTGGAGTCTACACAGAGTCCACTGATACCAGTTTAACACAAACAGCATGCTTAAATTCCACATGAAAGGACAGGGAAAATCTAATTAAAGCTGGAAGTTGATTGCTAATCTTGCCATGTTGTAAAGAAATGGGAAAATTCTATCTGGATTTTACTGCCTTTCCCTGTAAAGATTTTTTTTTATGTGTAATTGCAAAATACACTGTAAGATGAAATTTTAAAAGATGGTTAAATAAAGGAAACAGTTTCATAAGGATTTCATTTCAGAAAAGGAATTATTAAGCTGTCATTGGCTATATACGGAGTTGGATTTCAGGGTCCATGTAACAATACCATATTTGTAAAAACAACAGAAGCTTAATTTTAGGATGGAGTGGAATAAAATGTTATTTTAGGAAGGGAATGATACTCAAATTGAAATTGAGGGACAGAAAGCAATACACGACGTGTGGCACTAAGTGAAGGTAGTGGAAACCAGTGTCTTTCAGTAAAAAATATGAGGCATTAATCTGAAAGA